CCCCCCCCCCCCCCCCCCCCCCACCCCCCCATTTATTTCAGAATCCCCTCACCCTCCCCCATTTCTGAAGAAAGGTCTAGACCCGAAACGTCAGCTTTCCTGCTCCTCTGATGCTGCTTGGCCTGCTATGTTCATCCAGCCCTCCACCTTGTTATCTCTGATTCTCCAGCATCGGCGGTTCCTACTATCTCTGCATATAAAAGCAGTTCTCCAAAATGGTTTTGAAGTAGTAGTGTCTACAGTTAAACCTCTGGTACTTCACTTTTTCAATAGCTTGCCACAGCTCAACCAACGTTGTTATTCCTCTAGCTTGAAGGAGTGATGCCTTTATCTGATTTCCCTTATCATTTCCTTCGTCTGGAGAAAACAAAGTTCCAATTCATTCACATTTGTGAGGATTGTATGGAAGTTGTTATTTTGGAGAGAGGGTTTTTTGAAAATGTTTAAGTAAGTTACTTACTCTTTTGTGCTTTTATTCTTAGGGGGAAGAAATTTTCCTTGATATGTTTGAAGATGAATATCGAGCCATGACGGTACGTGATCATCAGAGTAGGGTCATTTATCCAGTTCAACTCAAGTAGTTTGCTCTATGTACCCTAAATTCTATAATTATGTATTTGCACAGCTTGAACCTAGAAAACCACTTATGTGCTTTCTTAGTGAATTGATACAAGCTTTATGTTTAAGAAATATACAATAATTCATTTGTGTGTTAGGGTACTGTTTTCTTTAAGATGACCATTAGTCAAATGTGTTGCAAGACTGTAACCCTAGAATTGCACAAGAACAGATATTCGAAGTAGACCGTTTTATAAGCCTACGCACCTTGTTGAAAAATCTAATCATTGTTTTTCGAAGATGCAAGGAAAGCTTTAATTGGAAGTATTTGGATCATTAGTAGTTATTACTACAATGTACGTAATGAAAAAAAATTTAGATTATCTATTGGCAATTAGCATGGAATATATTTTTCAATTTCAATATCAATGTAATTGCTGCACTTAATCTGAAAGCGATTACAAATTCATATTGGACAATGTTGAGAACAGTGGAATATGAGGAGGCTATTTAACCCCTTGAGCTTGTTGCAACATTTAATGCGATCATGCTGGTGTGTGACCTAACTCCATAAATCCGTTTTTACTCCACATTTCTTAATATCTTTGGTTAACAAAATTCTTTCAATTTACAGTTGCAATTGATCAAATAGTGGTCTGTGGATTGCCATTCCGAACTTATATCATGTTGTGTGTAAATGTCTTTCCTAATTTCACTCTTGAGGTCTTCATTTAATTTTTATAATAATTCCCTGTAGTTCTAGATGTCCAACCAGCAGAACTAGTTTCTATTTACCCTATCTGTTCAACATAATATCTTGAAAACATCAATCAAATCCCCCCTATACCTAGTTCTCATAATTTTTTCTCCCACTTTAACCTCTGGAGTTCACATATAATACTGATTACCACTGTGTCACCACCTCCCTTCAGGTTTTGTTACTAGACTGGTAAACCAAGACCTCAGGCTAATGTTCTGGAGATAAGGGTTTGATCCCACCATGGCAGATGGTGAAATTTGAATTCACTAAAAGCCTGAAATAAAAAGAACAACTGTAGAACAGTTGTAAACTATTGTAAAAACCCACCTGATTTATTAATATCCTTTAGGGAAAATTCACAAAGCTGCTTATAGTATTTCCGGTGTGATTCAACTAATGTTTTACATGATTGAAGTCTGATATCTGCCCTGTTACATTCTAGTCCTCTCATTTTCTGAGACAACTAGGTTGTTAAAATGTGACTTATAAGCAGTCATCCAGATTTTTTGTTTCTTCATCTGTAGGGATTCTGTGATTCTATGATCTTCCACTTTTTTTAAAAAAAAACGTCAGTTGATCATTAACGTTAGGGACTAACAAGATACAGGTATGTGTCTTGACCGTTAAACTATGGTTCTTTCCCATCTTTCTCCTCGTTTATTTCAGGTCATCTTATTGAATCATAGAATGTCAGCAGTGTGGAAGCAGGCCATTCATCCTGTTGAGTCCACACTGACTCTCTGAACAGCATCCCACCACCCTATCCGTATAACCCTGCATTTCCCTGGACACTATGGGCAATTTAGCATGGCCAGTCCATCTAACCTGTACATCTTTGAACTATGGGAGGAAACTGGAGCACCCGGTGTAAACCCACACAGACACCAGGAGAATATGCAAACTTCACACAGCCATTGCAGGCTAGAATCAAACCCAGGTCCCTGTTGCTGAGAGGCAGCCGTGGTAATGACTGAGCCACCGTGATTCACTGCACCTCCCCCCCTCTCAATATCTACCAGGTTGCTAGGTCTGATTGAGCTATTTACTCAAGATATTAGCCAAACACTACTATTCAGGCACTCTATGCTCCTGATGCTTCGTTTTTGTTTCTAATTTTTACCATTTTAAAAGTCGATTATCCATATATTTTGTTATTATTGGCAGGGTTCTATAATTGTTCATTTTGCTTGGAAATGAATGTTTTGAACCCAGGTCCCCAGACCATAATCAGGTCCTTTCCAGCTAAACATTAATTTAGTTTTCTTCCTCTCACATTTTGTAGACTTACAAGTGGCAAATTTCCAAAAAAAAGCATGAAAGCAAACTGTGAATGTAGTTTGACCTTTCAATCATGTTTTAACTTCTCTGAGTGACATTGCAGTGTTGCTGCTGATCTCTATGCCTCCACATCAGCAAAGAGCAAAAGCAAAGGTTCCTTCCATTGCTGGGAATGTGCCACCAAGATTGATCCTGGATTTGAGAACATCCATCAAAAATAGTCTGTAGGGTAAAGAGCTGAATAGTTGTCAAATCCAGTAGCCTTCAGGAGCAGTGCAAGAGGCAAAGAAAGGATGGACAGAAAATACATTCCATCCAGGATCCAGCATACTCAGTAATTTTCTTCTGTATGGATGTCCGAGGTCATATGGAGGAGCGATTTGAAGAAATAGATTAATGCAGTGAATGTTGATGACACACTAATCGCTATGTGCCAATCCTCAAAGCAACTCTGTGTGTGCGCAGCCATGCAGCTCTAAGGGATCATTGCCAGGGACTGGATTTGATAGTCCATCATGGGATGTATTTTCAGTACTGAGTACATAAATGTGCCATGGTGAACCCACTGACTTGCTGCCCAACCTGGCATGTACCCCAAATGAGATGGTGTATAAGGCATTCAGTAGGCTCTCCACCGTCTGGTGTGTTGAGGCCCTTAACCACCTAAGTATGTGGCAATCCCGGCCTCAGTCTGCCCCCGCTGCCATAACATGCTGGGCAATGGCAGGCAGGTCAGTGTTGTTATGATCTTAGCAGCTGCTGTTACTGGGCAAGTCAGATCCCAGAGTGAAATCTGGCATGATAGATCATTTTTGTTTTATCAAGGTGATCCTACACTGAAACACAACCACACAGTGCTGTAGGTATGGTTTCAACAATAAAGCAAAAGTTCATTATTCAAAGATAAAACAGAATAAACTAAACTGGCTGCTTATAACATATATTTCAAAATCTTTCAAATTTGACAAAATATAATCCCATTAATCCCAAAACACTCCTTTTCAATATTCTCACCAGAGAGAATTTCCTTCTCTATCTCATCCAAAGAGCTTAATTTAACTGTCTCTTTAATTCCCAGTCTTGAGAATCTTGTAGTTGCTTCCTTGAATTTTCATACAACTGAACTTTGACTTCTTCAGCTTCAAATAACCCCTTTAGCTTTAACTAAACAGTTATGGCCTGGAACCTTCAAACTAAATTTACACTTAGGGAGTCTATTTCTTAACAGTTGTAAACTATTCCCTTTCTTCAGGAACAACTGTATTGCATATCAGGTTTCAGCCAAAAATTTTGCAAACTGAAATTAAAAAGTTTTCCAAGCTATAGGTGTTTCCCCTCAGTCCAAAAACAATTGTCAAATCTTCTAACGGAAACCGAATGTGCTGCACTTTTTGCTTCACTTTTTAAAAATTCTTCCAATTAGAACAAAACCCCATCACTCTCTGGAAGTGTCGCTCATACTGTGTTTTAAAAGAAATCACGTGACTACAGAAATGTTAACAAATTAATCATTAAAACTCTTTATAGACCAAAGCTATATGCCAATCATTTAAAGTCCAAACCCTAAAATAAGTTGTAATAAATAGTGTTAAAATGTATATAAATCACACTGCTTCCATCACTTTTTTTGACAAGTAGATTTTTGAAAAGGCGGGAGGGGATCAAGGGCATGTCATTTGTGGGTATGTCCAGTGTGCATTGGACCATCTCACTCCCCTGAAGCTGTCGGCACCCACCATTTCTCCTTACCCAACTTCCAAATCCTGCTACCCCCCCAACAATTGCACTCCCCTTGCACTCTGTCCTGAGGCTGGCTGATTCCTTGCCTCCTTAAAAGCCCTACATATTTCTCACTCTGGTGCCATCACTGTTCTTCATAGAGAAGGCAAATTTCGTTCTGGACCCACTAGGTTATTAAGGTTGGTTGGCTCGCCGAGCTGGTTCGTTGTTGTTCCGTAGACGTTTCATTACCCTGCTACGTAACATCATCCGTGCAGCCTCCGATGTTACCCAGCAGGGTAATGAAACGTCTGTGGAACAACAACGAACCAGCTCAGCGAGCCCACCAAGCTCAACATCCACAACTCAAGCTACAATCTACTCCAAAACCTTAGAGACCCACTAGGTTAACTAGAACTGATTTGATTGGCTGGTACCTCCTGAAGAATGAGACTTCCTGGCCATTGAGTACTAGAAGTCAGTTACTTGGGGCTGCTTTTAATCTGCCCATGTGTGTTATCACTGCAGGGTAGCCTTATTAAAGGTTTGTATGTTTGGAACTGCTATGCCCACCACCATGCATAAAATATAGCTCAGGATGTGTAGAGAGAAAAATTAGTATAATGTTGACTCTGTAAATGTTCCCTTCAGTGTATTAATGATTTTCTGGGATTTCTGCTCTGACACACAAACTTAGAAGTTTGTGCTTACTGTAGGGGAACAGCAGTGAACTTTTAAACACAGCTAAAATGATTCTTTAAGAACGGTAAATTCAAGATGTCTTTTTGTCAATATGGCTTCATATTGAATACGGCCTGGGCTGCTTTTGTCTAATCTCAGTTTTTTGGAATAAAAGCAGCAACTGATGGAAACATTTGATTGGCAGCATCTTTGGAGAGAAAAACAGTAGTTGACACTAAAGTTGCTGAAATGTTGTATATTAATTTCTGCTATTAATTTCCCAGAGTAAACCCCTAAATGTAGAGTACCTGATGATGGATGCGTCTATTCTGCTACCTCCTACTGGCACGCCCCTAACTGGTATAGATTTTGTAAAAAGGCTACCTTGTGGCGATGTGGAGAGAACAAGGCGGGTAAGCACCAGAATACAGTTAGAACTGATAAACTGAACAGTCGAACAACTTGTTTAGTTCAGTTTATTTTGACTGCAAGCACTCAACACTTCAAAAGAATAATAAACTCATAGTTTGCAATGAGAAGTCTTTCACCATCTTTTTATGTAAATTTCTTAAAGTGAAGTTGTTTTAATTGGGGAGATTGTATTTTAAACGAACAGTACAAGATACTTGGTGAAATTGTTATAACTATTGTGGGAAAGGTACAGTGAAAGTCAAACCCCACTACTCGAGCTCTACCAAAAGTGTAAATGTCTTGTTTAATCACCCAAATGGTTGGCTTATCTCTCCTTATTGCTGTTATCTAGAACAAACTAAACTTTTCCCAAGTTTCTTCAGTAAACTCGAATAACTTGAATATTAAGAACAAATGTATTCTTCAGGCAAATGGCAAATAGGTTATTAACTAAGTTACTATGTGGACTTAAACAATGTCCCCTTAATCCACATGCATGCACATGCATTTGTACACGACAAGTCACACAGCTCTGCAGATGTATGGACGTGACAAAATAGGTAAAAACGGAGCATCGCTTTCGTAGGTAATGGATTCAAATTGAGAAGATAGAAGGGGTTGACTTTTCACAATTCTTTTGAGATCTGACTGTTGACAGTTGTAAAATGATGGAGATCTTCAGATCATGTCTCAGATTCAGATGGCAAATGGGAAACACTTGAAACTTTCAGTACTTTTTCTTCTAAACTACTTCACTGACGGAGCTTTTCAGCCCATTTTGCACCAATTATTTTTCCCTTACTGACCGAGAGAGAGCACTGCCTTTCCTTGCAAGCCTCTACACCACTGCTGCATCTAGGTGTTCCTTAAAATAAATCAACTCTAGTTTAGAGACTGCTGCTGGGCAACCCTAAGCATGAATCTAAGGGTTTTTCCCAACCTGTTGCAAATTTTAAATGATTGATCAGAGTTGGCTATGCTGAAATCAAGTCCAAGAAGCTACTAACAGTTAATGGTTCATTTCCTGAAATACTCCTGAAGTTGCCCTGTATAATTTCATTGCCTGAACTTGCACACTTATTTGGATAGATTGAGTGGAGCAACTGAATGATAGGTTATTATGGTACTATAAGATGACTATATTTGAGGGTTTGTTTGTGCATCAGCTGTATTTTTCAACAGTGCATGTATTGTTTCAACCAAACCTTAATCAGTTCGCAGCTGCATCAAAATCGTGGGTGTTCATACAATTTTAGAGCCCTTGGTAAGTCACTTGAGACATTTTCTTGCCCAGCCTTTTGCTGGAAAACTTAATGAAGCAACAAGGTGAATCATTCATCATAAGGTGGTGTACCAAGGTACTCCTCAAGAGCATTGTAGAACAAAGTTTGACACCTAGTCACTTCAGATAATATGGCTAAATGTTAGGCCAGTAAATGCTGGCTTTGTCAGCAATGCCCACATCCCATACATGAATAACGGAACAAATCACTGTTATAATATAGGTCAATACAGCAGCCAGTACACCCTAAACATGAGCTGAATTGAGATAATGACTCAAATTTGTTTTTTTAAGAAGTTTATTGTCGAATAAATGTTGTCATAGACTTGGCAATTATTCTAATTTTCTTTGAATTGCGACATGGGGTCTTTTATGTCCAAATAAATGGAGGTGATGGCCTAGTGATATTATAGCTAGACTATTAATTCAGAAACCTAGGTAATCTTCTGAAGACCTGGGTTTGAATCCCGCCACGACAGATAGTGAAATTTGAATTCAGTAGAAGTCTGGAATTGAAACTATTATCGATTGTCAGGAAAAAACCATCTGGTTCACTAATGGCCTTTAGGGAAGGAAATCAATTGCTGTTACTTGGTCTGGCCTACATATGACTCCAGACCCACAGAAATGTGGTTGACTCTCAACTGCCCTCTGGCCAATGAGGGATGGGTAATGAATGCTGGCTCAGGCAGAGATACCTCCAACCTGTGAATGAATTTTATTGTGTTAGCGATCTCTGGAACAATGTGACGTTTCTTCTTTATCCATGTAATTTATTATATAAAGCAGATCTAATTTTAAAGCATTGTTACAGTCATCAGTATTGTATTGAATTTTTTTTGCTTTTTTTAAGGCTATCAGGGTTTTCTTTATGCTCCGTTCTTTGTCGCTGCAACTACAAGGCGAGCCAGAAACACAGCTACCACTGACGAGGGATGAGGATCTTATTAAAACAGATGATGTGTTAGATCTGAGTAAGTATTAAATACGCTGCTGGTGCTGCTTTTGTATCTCTCAATGGCTATTGAGGGCTGCATTCTTTTTCATTTTAGAATTTCTTTGAAAGAGAAACATTGCAGTTCATGAGCCATGTGAATCTTGATTTCTCAATTTATTGGAAAGTATCCATGTATTTTGTGAAGTTGCACTGTTTTGTTATACAATATGTACAGGAGAATGCATGGACTATTGACTCCTTGAAGTTGTTGATGGTGTAAACCACAGTTAAGAATCTATGATAATGACTCTCAGGAATAGCTGATGCATAAAATTTCACCACTTTAATGTCATGTCTACTTCAAATGTAATGGCTAAAATTATCTTTATGGCATTTTTTTGCATGCTGTGAGGAATCCTATTCAATATCTTATTTTAAAGTTCACTCCATTATTTATTGTAGGTTTAAATTACTGAACAAGCTTGGTTGCTTTCAAGGCTGGACTAAGGAAATGCTAAAAACAAAATAATATGATGAACTTGGCGTCATGGATATGGTGGTCACGTTGCCTGGGGTTTAGATCTGGGCAGCGAGTGGAAGCCGTATTGGGCAGGTGGTGGAATGATTTGACAGCAGGGATGGTAGAAGATAGATGGCCATCAAGGGCAGGGTAGTTGCTGCCAATGATGGGGTTCTGGGTTTTGAATCGAGAGTTCTTGGCCATGGAGACAATAGTCACGTTAATTTGGGTCCTAGACGATAGATGTTGCAGAATCCAACAACAGGTGGCACAGAACAAAGGAGTCAAGATGAGTGAGGGTTGGTGAATGATGGAAGTTCAGACTTAATGTGCATTTAACCTTGGTCGGTATTGTTGCTAAAATTCTTGATGTTTATAGTTTGCCAGTACCAGCTTCCAAAGACTTAAGTTTCTGCCATTTATGTTTGTTGGTTACTGAGTATGTTTTGAAGGAATAACACCTAAAGTCATCTGCATACAATGCATGTTTGCTGAATTAACTGCCTTCTCAAGTTTGATTTGGTTTTGAGATTTGTGGCATTTTGTTCTCTTCAAAGTATTCTTGAAGTTTAACCAACTTTTAAAAGAATCACATCTGTCACTGTATTCATAACCAAACTTTGTTACTCTTGTCAACCACTGTTTTTAATTACTCCCGTCTATAACAGAATAGGCTGGACATATTGATATTTGAATTGGCTAAGGGTTATCTTTTTTTCTGTTACCACTTGTGCTGTTGAATTTTTAATTTTCCATTTATAATACTTGATAGCTGAATTCATTCCAGTGCATTCTTTGCCAGCTATTGGAAAGGAATAAATTTAGAAATATTAATTAATGTGAAGAAAGTAGGTGTCCGACTTCTGTAGGATAATCTTCATTTCTTTATGGAATGCTCTACATAAAACATGTGGAACAAATAATGTGTTGTTGGTATCCTAAAGTTATACTGATTTGTTTTACTGTTGTATATTTGATTGGTTTGCCCTACTGAAGAAACCTAATCCTCAAGCAAAGTTTTTTGTTGGACAATGTTCAGGCCCTGTGAAAGCGGTAGCCCAGTACCAATGTTGATCAACATGTTGATAATTCAGACTTGTCCATCAAGTACATGTGCTGACAATTCAATGGGTGGATTGGTGCTGAATTTGGGTCTTTGTGCTATTATTGAGGTCTGTGCCCATGATATAAACCTACTGTTGTCTTCCTGCTAAGCTCCATGTTTTTAGTTCCCGCTATCACCAGCTTTCACGTTTCCCACCTTGTATACCTATCACTGCTAGCTCTTCCTACACGAGTCTTGTCTAGGTCTTTGCTTACTGATTTCTCTCTTTGCACCGCCTTTAGTCTCATTTTGAAGCATATTTTACACTTGCAAAAATGAAGAACTTACAAGCTTTTTGGTGGAGGGAAGGAAAGAAAATGGAATATTCTGGTTTTGCTCCTTCTGACTCTTCTTGCAATCCTAAACATCCTGGGATTATATGAATGAAATAGCTATACTTGTTTCCAAGAAAATTTAGAACCCCCTCAAGGAGAGATGAATTTTGATTTGTGCATTTTATTTATATATAAAGTGGGTTAGAACAAACCTTTTTGCTTGTTTCCTGCTCCAGGATACTATTTAATATTTTATTTAATGAAATTGTGAACTATTCAAAAATATTGTAGTAAAATGAGAAACTTTTTCATTGTAAGGTTAAGTTTGAGTAGGTGCTTTTAGTTTTATGATATTAGTCAGGTGTTCCACATGTTCTTTCTTGACATTGGTGTGGGGCATGGTTTTGTGCATTATAGTGGTTTTCCGGTCTACTCCACCAGCTTTACAGTAAATGACTCAACCACACTATAGTTCAGATAAGAAAGTGGGATGGCTTAACTTGAAATTTTCTTTGTGTTGTGGTATTTGGCTTTTTGGTCAGTGGCTAATGGTATTAAGTGTCTTCTTCAAGTGGCAGATAATAGTGTTGAGAGAACAGCTGTATTTAATTCATTTTAAAAGATTTAAAACATAGAATCCCTACAGTGTGGCAACAGGCCAATCGGCCCAATGAGTCCACGCTGCGGCCGCCACCCCCCCCCCCTCCCCCCGCCAAAAGAGCATCTCACCCAACTCATTCCCCTACCCTTGCATTTCCACTTGTCTAACTCACCCAACCTAAATATCCCTGGACACTACAGGCAATTTAGCATTGCCAATCTATCTACCCTGAGACATCTTTTGGACTGTGGGAGGAACCAGAGCACGCAGGGGAAACCTACGCAGACATGGGGAGAATGTGCAAACTCCACACAGACAATTGCCCGAGGGTGGAATTGAACCTGGGTCCCTGGCACTATGAGGCAGCAGTGCTAACCACTGAGCCACTGTGCCACCCAACAAGGCACAATGGTGTGCTGACAATGAGGTATTAACTAATTTTTTGTTGCTATGGTGCCCTGTGAGTCAGCAAACTTAACAAGAGTATGTGGGAGAGCAATAGTCGTTGTAGTCATTGAAAGCTCCCCGTTTTATTCCTTTAGTCCAATTTCCACCTTAGTCCCATCACGGAAACCACTCTGGCCAAAATTGCAAATGACATGCCCTTGAAAGATTCAATTAGAGTAGAAATTACAATGGTTGTTTGAGTTAATATAGTCATGACGTGAGAAGGACAGTCAGGTAGGATAGTATTTTTAGAGCTGAGGGGGAACTAGAGAAAGCTAAGTTCTCTGAATGGAGTTTGTATTCACTGCAAAAATAAGTCAAAAAATCTGTGCATGCAATCATTGCAATTACTAAAATAGACAGTGGTGTTGGAATAGGATGTGGAGATGTGTGAGGTTATGCAGTCTGGTCATAAGAGCTTAAAACTGGAATATTCATATTTGTAAATGTTGATGTCAGAGGAACTTTGATCACTCTTACAAAGAATGCAAAAAGTTAACATGGTGGTAAAGCGAGCAGTTAAGAAAACAAAAAGTTACATTTTGACCTTTCTCTCAAAAGAATGAGTGTACAGGGATTTTAAAAAAGGTCTTGCTACAGTTGTACAGGGATTTGGTGCACCTTGATACTGTGCAATTTTGACCTCCATGTTCAAGAAAGAGTATGCTTGCATTGAAGGCAGCGCAGCTGAAATTGAGTGTAGTCGTCCCTGGGGTGATGGGGTTATTTTATGGTGGGAAGCTGTGTAAATTGTGTCTGAAGTCTCTGGAATTTAGGAGAATGAAAAGTGATTTAATCGAAATGTATAAGATTATCAAAGGAATTAGAGTATCTACTGAGATATTTTTGCCCTTGATTGAGGAAACCTAGAACAAGTAGGAACAATCTCGGGATTAGTTCCAATTATTTAACATTAAGATGACAATTTCTTACACTGAAAAAAGTGGTGAATCCTTTTAACTCTGTACCCCAGAGGGTTGCGCTTGTGCCATCATTAAATTTGTTTAAGGCTGCAGTAGATTTTGGTTTCTTGAGGAATTAAGGGATACAGAGAATGGACAGGAAAGTGGTATTGTAGACCAAGATTGACCATGTTCATATTGAATGGTGTAGTAGACTCTGCGTTATATAATCTTGTCCTGCTGCTATTTCTTGTGTTCTGAACTCAATAGGTGCTCCGTTCTAGCCAGACCACTTAGATTTTTAATTAACCACACACATGCCCCAATAAAAGTGTCATGGTGAAATGGTTTAATTTTGCATTTACGTACAACCTGGGGCCCATCTGACTTGAAATGAAGCAGAGTGAGATTTCCAATTGCAGCTGTGCGCTTTGTTTAATCAAATCAGACTTTGAAACAATGAAATGTAAATCCAGAGTCAATGGTGGCGTGCAAAACTGCATTGTGCTTTATAGTCATAGAGGTCCACAGCACAAGTCAAGGCCCTTCAGCCCAACAAGTCAAAACTGATGGAGTGGAAAGACTGTGAAAGGTACTTAATTAGCTCTGAACCAAGAACTAAACAAACAATCTTGAAGTAAACTTTGCTCCGGTTATGTACTTGACTTTTGTATGGTAACTGCACTGTTGTGTAAATACTCTATTAAAGTACCAATGAACAGAGTGCATGTTGATTATGTAGGACCAGCATCATCATCAACATTTGCTTCTGATTAAAATTAAACTTGCCAGTAAATGTGAGGGCTGTTGGCAAAACCCTTTCTGAACATAATGCCTCAGTCAGGGCACCAGCAACTGGTGATACCTGGGGCTGCTGATTCTCTGGAGTTCAGGTGGATAGGGTCCTTACTATGGTAGGATTTGGTGACCACTATGTAGAAATGCCTCAGCAGTGGATGATGAGGTGTAGCAGTTTGAGTGTGAGCAGCTCATAACTCTGGTCATTTCATTTTACAAAAACATAATAATCTGTACAGTACAATACTGGCCATGGATACAAGTTTTCATTCTTCTTTGAAAAGACTCACTGATATGTTTCATACACCCATCTGATGATGTGTGTTCAACAAGTTATTGTTATGGCAAAATGAGGGAAAATACTGGTGTTTCCATAGTATTGTTTTACA